CGTTGCTGTGCGCGGGCTTTCTCTAGCTGCGGCGAGCGGGGGCTACTCTTCATTGCGGTGCGCTTCTCATTGCAGTGACTTCTCTTGTTGTGCAGCATGGGCTCTAGAGCGCAGGCTCAGTAGTTGCGGTGCACGGGCTTAGTTGCTCCGCGGCATGTGGGATCTTCCCAGGCCAGGGCTCGAACCTGTGTCCCCTGCATTAGCAGGCGGATTCTCAACCACTGCGCCACCAGGGAAGCCCCTATACTTCTGATTTTCATCCCTATTATTACATTCTTTAAGGCTTCTGCTGTAATTAATGAAGTCTTACTAAATAAGACAGAAAGCATCAAAACATATACTTGGAATGTATACATGTAGCCGAACCATTAAATAAGATTTAAAAATTAAAAAAAAAGGATTGTTGCGACCTGCAGCTCAGAGTACAAGTCTTCACATTTTCTTACCTGGTGTGGTAAGCTGAGGTCCAGGGACCTTAATGAGGGTTAACGTAGGAAGGCCTTCTCTGGGGATGGCATATTCTTCTAGAGGCCAAGTAGCTGAAGAATGACATTTTGTAGATGGTCAATGTGCCTAGTTGATCTTGTTTCCAAGAAATCAGCTAAGACATTTTGAGACCATGATAACTGATTTCAACGTTGTTTAAACACGTGGATAGTCAGGTGCTAATTTTGAAAGAGATCACCATGCAAATAGCATATTTTGATTTCATCGATAGCTTCATTCAGCTAAGCTTCATGAAAATCACCATGTTGTTATTTTTCTTATTTTACCAAAGACTGGTGCAAACTTTTTAATGGATGGAAATCACGGGTTAGATAAACAGCTAATCCAGCAAGGTGGTCTCTTACCTGGTTGGTAACTGTACCCAGAATGTCCATGCCATCCTGCAGGGGAAGGTACCAGGCAGGAGGGAGGAATGACGAGAAGGCCCATGTGGGTCTGGGAGATGATGAAAAGAAAATTCTTAAAAAAAATTTTTTTTATTGTGGTAACATTGATTTTATAACATTATATAAGCTTCGTGTGCACAACATTGCACTTCTACTTCTGTATCCACTACAGCAGCTTACCGCCAAGAGTTTACTTTCCACACATCACCATATTGACCCCCCTTTACCCATCCCCGCCCACTCTGGTAACCATTACTCTGTTCTCTGTATCTACATGTTTGTTATAGTTTGGTTTGGTTCATTTATTTTGTCATTTTGTTTGTTTTTTTATATTCCATGTATGAGTGAAATCATATGGTATTTGTCTTTCTTCACCTGATATTTCATTTAGCATAATATCCTCAAGGTTCATCCATGTTTTTGCAAATGGCAAGATTCCATCCTTTTTTATGGCTGAGTAATATTCCATTCAACACACATATACATACACACATATGCCAAATCTTTATCCATTTTTCCATTGATGGCCACTTAGGTTGCTTCCATATCTTGGCTACTATAAATAATGCTGCAATGAATATAGGGGTGCATATATCTTTTATAATTAGTGTTTTTGTTTTCTTCTGATAAATACCCAGGAGTGGAATTGCTCAGTCATATGGTAGTTCTAGTGTTAGTTTTTTGTGGGTTTTTTTTTTTTTTGCGGTACGTGGGCCTCTCACTGTTGTGGCCTCTCCCGTTGTGGAGCACAGGCTCCGGACGCGCAGGCTCAGCGGCCATGGCTCACGGGCCCAGCCGCTCCGTGGCATGTGGGATCTTCCCGGACTGGGGCACGAACCCGTGTCCCCTGCATCGGCAGGCGGACTCTCAACCACTGCGCCACCAGGGAAGCTCCCTAGTGTTAGTTTTTTGAGGATCTCCATACTGTTTTCCACAGTGGCTGCACCAATTTACATTATCCACGTGCACCATGGTTTCCTTTTCTCCACATCCTTGCCAACACTTGTTATTTCTTGCCTTTTTGATAACAGCCATTCTGACAGATATAATGTGATATCTCATTGTGGTTTTGATTTGCGTTTCCCTGATAATTACTGACATTGAACATCTTTTCATGTCTGTTGGCCATCTGTATGTCTTCTTTGGAAAAATGTATGTTCAGTTCCTCTGCCCATTTTTTAATCAGGTTATTTGGGGTTTTTTTAAATTGTTCTTTATATATTTTGAGCATTAATGCCTTATTGGATATATGATTTGCAAATATCTTCTCCTATTTGGTAGCTTTTCATTTTGTTGTTTTCTTTGCTGTGCAAAAGGTTTTTAGTTTGATGTGGTCCCATTTGTTTATTTTTGCTTTTGTTTCCCTTGCTGAGGAGGCATATCTAGAAAGATATTGCTGAGACTGATGTCAAAGACGTACTGCCTGTGTTTTCTTTTAGCGTTTTATGGTTTCATGGCTTACATTCAATCTTTAATTCATTTGGGGTTGATTTTTGTGTATGACATATGATAGTCATCTAGTTTCAATTTTTTTTTTTTTTTGCATGTGGCTGTGCAGTTTTCCCAACACCATTTATTGAAGACTGTCCTTTCTCCATTGTATGCTGTTTGCTCCTTTGTCATAAATTAATTGTCCATATATGTGTGGGCTTATTTCTGGACTTTCAATTCTGTTCCATTGAGCTATATCTGTTTTTCTGCCAATATCATGCTGCTTTGAGTTCTAAAGCTTTATAATGTAGTTTGAAATCAGGGAGTGTGATATCTCCAGCTTTGTTCTTTTTTTCTCAGGAATGCTTTGGTTATTCAGGGTCTTTTGTGGTTGTATATGAATTTTATAATTTTTTGTTCTATTTCTGTGAAGAATGTCTTTCCATTTCTTTGTGTCTTCTTCAGTTTCTTTGAACAATGTCTTATAGTTTTCTGTGTACAGGTCTTTCGCCTCCTTGGTAAAATTTATTCTTAGGTTATTTTATTCTTTTTGTTGCAGTTGTAAATGGGATTGTTTTCTTAATTTCTCTTTCTTCTAGCTTGTTGTTAATGTTTAGAAATAGAACAGATTTCTGTATGTTGATTTTGTACCCTTCAACTTTAATGAATTCATTTATTATATCTAATAGTTTTTTGGTGGAGTCTTTAGGATTTTCTGTATATAAGATCGTCATATACAAGTAGTGATAATTTCACTTCTTCCTTTCCAATTTGGATGTTTTTTATTTTTTTATTAATTTTTTTTCTTTTTTTCTTTCTTTTTTTTTTTTTTGCGGTACGCGGGCCTCTCACTGTCGTGGCTTCTCCTGTTGAGGAGCACAGGCTCCGGACACGCAGGCTCAGCGGCCATGGCTCACGGGCCCAGCCGCTCCACGGCATGTGGAATCTTCCCGGACTGGGGCACGAACCCGTGTCCCTTGCATCGGCAGGCGGACTCTCAACCACTGCGCCACCAGGGAAGCCCCTAATTTTTTTTCTTTTTTTAAAAATTTATTTTTTGGCTGTGTTGGGTCTTCGTAGCTGCACACGGGCTTTCTCTAGTTGCGGCGAGTGGGGGCTACTCTTTATGGTGCATGGGCTTCTCATCGCAGTGGCTTCTCTTGTTGCGGAGCACGGGCCCTAGAGCACGTGGACTCCAGCACTTGCAGCACGTGGGCTCTGTAGTTGACTCGTGGGCTCTAGAGCACAGGCTTGGTAGTTGTGGTGCATGGACTTAGTTGCTCCACGGTGTGTGGATCTTCCCAGACCAGGGATCAAACCTGTTTCCCCTGCATTGGCAGGCGGATTCTTAACCACTGGGCCACCAGGGAAGTCCCCGCATGTTTTAATTTTCTTTTCATGGCTAACTGCTCTGGCTAGGACTTCCTGTGTTGAATAGGAGTGGTGAGAGTGGGCATCCTTACCTTGTTCCCGATTTTAAAAGAAAGCTTTTAGTTTTTCACTGTAGAGCAGTGGTCCCCAACCTTTTTGGCACCAGGGACTGGTTTCATGGAAGACAGTTTTTCCTCAGACTGGGGGGCGGGGGGATGGTTTAGGCAGTAATGTGAGCTGCAGTCAGGCGGTAATGTGAGCGATAGGGACTGGAAGATGAAGCTTCGGTCGCTTGCCCGCCGTTTACCTCCTGCTACGTGGCCTGGTTCCTAACAGGCCTACCGGTCCGCGGCCCGGAGGTTGGGGACCCTTGCTGTAGAGTGTGATGTTAGCTGTGGGTTTGTCATTCGTGGCCTTTATTATGTTGAGCTTCCTTCTATACCCATTTTTTTTGAGAGTTTTGTCATAAATAGATGTTGAATCTCGTGAAATGTTCTTTCTGCATCTACTGAGATGCTCATATGGTTTTTAACCTTCATTTTGTTAATGTGGTGTATCATGTTCATTGATTTGTGGATGTTGAACCATCCTTGCATCCCTGGGATAAGTCCCACTTGTTCATAATGTATGATCTTTTTAATGTACTGTTGTATTCAGTTTGCTAATATTTTGTTGAGAATTTTTGCATCTATGTTCATCAGAGATAATTTTCTTTTTGTGTGTTATCTTTGTCTGGTTTTGGTATCAGGGTAATGTTGGCCTTGAAAAATGAGTTAGGAAGTGTTCTGTCCTCTTCAGTTTTGGGGGATAGTTTGAGAAGGACAGGTATCAAATCTTTGAATGTTTGGTAGGATTTACCAGTGAAGCTGACTGGTCCTGGACTTTTGTTTGGGGGTAGCTTTTGGTTACTGTTTCAGTCTCCTTACTAGTGATCTATTTAGATTTTCTTTCTTCATGATTCAGTCTTAGAAAGTGGTATGATTCTAAGAATTTGTCCATTTCTTCTGGGTTGTCCAGTCTGTTGTTGTGTAGGTCTGTTACAATCCTTTTTTAAAAAGTACATTCTTAGAGGAAGGTCTTGAAAGTTCTAGGGGCTTTGTTCTGGGACTAAGAAGGAAAGTGCACGCTGAGAATTCTCTTTCTCCTGGGTTCCTTCCAGTGAAGGTCAGACTGAGAAGGCAGTCACCCTGCCGTATCTAAGAGACTTTGTTTTGGAACATGACATTTTACATCCTCTGTGGTTAGTGACTGTAGCCTCCATGAAGGGAAAGTCTGATCTCAAGTGCAGGTTCTCTGCTCTTTTAGTGTCGCATTGTCTCTGATTCTACTTTTCTTTTTTCCTTCAGGCTGCTTGATAGGGGCTGTGAATCTCAAATCCAGCAACCGAAACCCAGTGGTACAGGAATTTGAAAGTAAGTACAAGGAAGGGTTTAGGCAAAGGGGCACCACTTGGTGATCTGGCAGCAGATGCAGGACAGACACACACGGATGTGTCCTGCCCAAGAGGCTTGGGGGTGGCTGGCTCCCCAGCAGTCATCTGATGTGCAGCCCGCGGGCAACTCTGCAGGCTTTCTGTTGGCTGAAACCTGATTCCTGGCCTGGCTTTGCATTTATACAACCAAGAACGTTCTTATATACAAGCAGAGTATTAGGGGGAACGTGTACTCTCTTTAATAAAAGTCTTTGCTAATCATCTATATTGTTTTTCTAGCTAAAACTAAAGTCTCTTGGAGCCTGGAGCTAGCTAGATTTTTAATCTACATGACAGACCTAAATATACATATAGCTTGCAGGGTCTGGGTATACAAGTGAACCTAAAATTGTTCCACATTCACTGACAGTTCTCTTTTTTCCCTTGCTCATTAGGTGTGGAACTATCTTGTATCATTACGGATTCACAGACAAATGACCCCAGGATTGAGTGGAAGAAAATCCAAGATGAACAAACCACATATGTGTTTTTTGACAACAAAATTCAGGGTATGATCCTGTGGTCCTCTCGTTTGTACAGAGGCTCAGGCATGCACTTGTGGCCAAGACTTTGCTCTAACTGGACCTGCATCTGTAGCCAGGATTGGTGTTCTGTCTTGTTTTACATATGGAAAAGTCAACATGCAAAAGTAGTAAGAATAGTGTATGGAACCTCCCTGCACCTGTGACCCTGCTTCAGTTAATATCACTTAATCAGTTAGGATTTTAGTCCACACGCAGCCGTAGCTTTGAGGTATCTGAGTGAACATTCTCCGAGGCCATCTCCCTATCGTGACCCACGACTTTATAAGTGACTTCATTAGTAGGACAGTATGGAACAGCAGGGGGACAGCAGCACCCACTGTACACACCTGGGTGCCAAGCGCACCATGAGGGAGGGCAGGGTAGGGGCTGCAGGGAGGCACTGGGCCAGGAGCACATGGGGCAGAAAGACATGGAAGCGCAGGGAGCTTCTCAGAGGGACCGCCGGCTCTCAGCCCAGCAGGGGAAGGCGGACACAAGGTGGATGGCGCTTGGAAGACCTCAGGAGGGGCGTAATGTGGTCCCACTGATGCTTTAGAGACGGGGGTGGTTGCTTTGCAGACAGGGGGCTGGTAGTGGGCACAGCTGAGAGCAGGGCCCAGTTCAGGATTCTTCTGCAGAGGCCAGGGTAGTGTGGATGGGGGCGGGGGGTTGTAATGGGGGGAGGGGGCCACCCCCAGGGACAGCAGGCGGATGGAAGAGTCAGCGCAGCTGCAGAGGCGGGCAGCCCCAATCCCTCTGAGAATGTGACAGTGGGGGTTTCAGGGAAGGGGTGGAGGCTTTGCGGATCAACCTGAAATTACGGCCTTTCTGCCTCAGGTCCTCCACATCATCAGGGCTCATGGGCTCTTAAAAACAGTTCTGTTTGCCCACCAGTAATCCTCCCACCTCTGATTTACGAAGAGATGGCAATGTTATTCTCAGGAAACAAATCGGTTTTCTCTGGCAGCTTCATCAGGCTGTTCTTGATAAGCCCTGACAGAGCGGGATGTTCGTAAGCAACTTTCTGTTTCTTCCCCGCCCCCAGAAATTGCCACACAAAATAGAGGCCTGGAGGGAGACCTTGCCTTGGGGCAGGGCTGTGCCAACAGCGCCTGATGGGTTTGCATTTACTTGTTTCCCACACCCCTGCTGATACCTGGATGGCGAACCTTCCCACTAGAAAACGCCTTCAGAAATGTTCGTTCTCTTATCAAAAGCATTTTGCCGTTTCCATCACGTGTGGTAAACCCTTCCTAGACTTGTCACCAATTAGCAGGTTTAGTAAATTCGTTTTTAAT